ACAAAAAAAAAAAAAAAAAAACCCACTTTACAAGGCTAAAATCCTCAACTTTGAATGCGAAAATCACGGTTATGAATATCTAGAGTCCAAAAACCCTTCATGAAGCAGAACTCAGAAAAGCAAGGAAAAAATAAAATACACTATTCAAAATAGTATTTCAAGAAAGATCAAAAAGCAGAAAGTTGGGGGTGTAGAAGATTTAATGACAACAATCAAGACATGTATCTTTATAATGTCAAAACTTGTAATAGAAAATACACTTCCATCTCAAGGGTGCATGAAACATTAAAAAAAAAAAAAACTGATATAGGTAACGTGCTCAGGTAATCCTACAGTAAAACTAGAAATTATTGGGGAAACTAAATTTATTGAGATTTAGTCTTTTTGCCCAGAGGATGTTTCTTTATTCAGCTTCCACTGGGACTTCAAAAACAAACAACTCTCTAGTAAAAACTGCTCTTTGGTGAAAAAGGAAACAAACCAAAGCTGAAGTTCTAAACCAAAATAACTAGTGAAAATATTACTTAGGAGTACATATGGGATACACATACTGATCAGAGATTTCATAGCATTAAATGTTTTGTATCAGTGAAAAAGAATGAAAAATAAGTAAACCCTTGACTCAAAAAATAAAAAAAAACCAGAAGAAACAATAGTAATGTAAAAGAATGAAGTAGAAAGCACAAAGAGGGAAATAATAAAGATAAAAACAGATAAACACAAATTTAAAATAATACAGATAAAAACTTTCTCTTCAGGGCGCATGGGTGGCTCAGTCATTAAGCGTCTGCCTTCAGCTCAGGTCATGATCCCGGGTCCTGGGATCCAGCCCCTCATCGGGCTCCCTGCTCCACGGGAATCCTGCTTCTCCCTCTCCCACTCCCCCTGCTTGTGTTCCCTCTCTCGCTGTGTCTCTCTCTGTCAAATAAATAAAATCTTAAAAAAAAAAAACCAAAAAACCTCTCTCTTCATCTTTAAGGTCTACTAGTTTTATTAAAGGCTGTCTTTAGTGAACCATTCCACATCAGTTTTCCCAGGTTCCTGGTGGTCTCTGAATATGTGGATCAGGTCTTCTTTTATTTTTGGACAGTTTACTTAGATTAGAAGTTAATGGAACAGAAACAGAAAAGAGCAGAACAAGAGTTAAGTCAAAAAAGCTGGTTCTTTGCAAATAATCAAGTCAAAAAGTGGGCAGAGGATATGAAAAGACACTTCTCCAAAGAAAACATACAAATGGCTAACAGACACATGAAAAAATGTTCATCATCATTAGCCATCAGGGAAATCGAAATCAAAACCACACTGAGATACCACCTTACACCAGTTAGAATGGCAAAAATGGACAGGGAAAGAAACAACAAATGTTGGAGAGGTTGTGGAGAAAGGG